CTGCTCTTCAAGGGCCTTCAGCATGAATGACATGCTTCACTAAAGCCTGGTTGAGCTCCGGTACAATGTGCCATATCATGTTTTTATTCCTCTGTTTCTGTACACAGAAGCCTTTTTTGGTGCCATTAATTAATGCTTAAGTTACACAGAAACATGATGTGAGACAGGACATTTTACACACAGTAAACCTTACTGTAAAAACACAAATTAGCTTCCTTAAAATACAGCCTATAAAACAGTTTAATCTTCTATAAAATGTTCATTACAAACTCAAAGCGATTTCTTTGGTTTAAGTTGATGACCTCAGCTTCTGTTTTCCCAACTGTGGTACTTAAAATGGGTCAGTCCGGTGTTCTGTGTTCTCACGTGGTTTATGTGCCATTTGGGGACGAGGCAGTCTGATTTTGGATTTTTGAGGTTGACGTGGCGATTTTATGGATTTATAAACTCTATAATTGTTATTCTGGATTAGTTTGTGTTTATGTGTTTACTCCAGCAATGCACTTCACAGATTAGTTAATAGCTTACTGTGAAGATCCCCTATCATCACCAGCAACTACAGTTAGCCCTGCACTTTTATTAGTAGTTATTATTTTACTTGTTTGTAAGAAATATTTCACTTCATGCGTACTAGAAGACAGAATCCAACCACTCTTCTTTGCACAAGCATGTCCCAAAAAAAGACAGATGAAAGCAGATTTTTAATAGAGAACTAATGCACATCAGTCTGAAAAAAGCCGCTGTGAGTGTAATGGATGGCCTTCTTTTTCCTGATGTAAATATTTCAGGTATCACTCAGCATTTTGGGTATTTTATTCCTTATTAGAGAGAAAATTAGTGGAAAGAAGAGACGTGGTGGACTGACACTTTGACATAGTCTGACTGTGGCTTAAATCCTTAATCCTGCCCCCTTTGATATCAGTTTGATTCATTGTTTAACATTTATTATTTGTTTACATTTGTTCTCTTCTGGGCAGTCTAACAAATCTACATTTATGATTTTTAAAGGGGACCTGTAATGAGTTTTTTTGCAGATGTTCATATATGGCTGAAGTTTCCTGTTGTCAGATCAACATATGTCCAAGCAATCACTGTGAACCAAAGGGTCAGAGTTCAAAATATTCAAAAAGCTTGGTTTCAGAGGTTATTTTCTATTCTTGGCTATGAAGTAGAGTGGATTTCCATAAAATCCCTTAAACAGAGGAGTAAAAGGGGCTAAAACAGCTTATTTCAGACAATAGCTGAACACTGGAGCGACATCAAAGTCCGGTATGAGTTAATCAAGGCTTATTGTGACTGAATTATGCAAAGCTACCCTGAATCTGAAATTAAAAATACAAAGTTGGAAAAAAGTACAATGGGTTTCTTTTAAAACTGATATATTAATAGAAATGTATTCATTTATTAGACAGAAAGCGTTTAAGTACCAAATTCCCACGAGTCCATTTTATGGAAGTTTGTTTTTGGGTTTATCTGAAAAGCTCAAGTTATGCATCTTGAAATTCAGAGTAATTAACTCAAAGTTGTAGTAAAATTTCAACATTAAAAAAATACATTTAAACAATCCAGTGGTGGCAACAAGCTTTCATATTTTTCAGTCACCAGCAGTATTAAATGTTCTATTTCTTGTGATTTTGGCTCCACTCTCCATAAGCAACACAATGTTTTATAATTTTCCACTTTCACACATCCATAAAGGTACTGTTGCAGATCAGAAATCTGCATTTATGAATTTCAGAGACACAAAAAGTTACTTTTTTGTCTATTTTTCCAAGCGGTCTCTCCTGCATCTGGACTCTTTGGAGACCTTTCACCTTTCTGCCTCGCTCTTCACCCTCAAACTTTCCTGTTCACCAACCCTTGTCCACGTCCATCCAACCCCCCCACCCCTGAGGTGAAACCTTACTCGTCGATAAATTTAGCAGCAGTGTGATCCAACGTTCACTGACACACTTCTCCCCAGTTCTCCCCCTGCCTCTCTCTCTGACGCTGTTTGCCTCTCTTTCGGGCCATCTCTCCCAGGAGGCTTGTTGAACAGACAGATGGAAGGCTTTAACCTTTACACAAAACAATAACAAGCTATTGACACTATTTAGCAATGTGACATTTCACCTTTATGCTATGGAAGTAACATCCAACTGTTTAATTATTACATTAGAACTACCCCTGTAATTGAAAAAACGTGTCCGCATTATTGTATGAAATTTAATGGCTTAATCGTCTACATTGCAGTCATTCCAGCCCACGGGACATTTGGCAGGTGAACGTTATCCCTTTTAGTAGCCTGTAACATTTGAGACTTATGGGATCTATTTCACTGCTGTTGACATTCTCACAGATTGAGACTCGTCTCCTCACACAACCTCGCTTTTAACCTCATCCATCACATCAACTGTTACACACAACCAGATGTAAAAAGCAGGCACAAATATACATTGTGTGTGTGTGTGTGTGTACATCTTCACAAGCAGCGATTTGCTCTCGCCACTGTGGAAAGTGTTTGTCAGTGTGACAAGAGTCCACAGAGGGAGCTTCCTCTTCGGGAAAGTAAAGAGTCACCAACAGTTGTGTGATTTTAAATTAATAAACACTACTCTGCAAGGCCAGTGAGCATTAATCTTTGTGGGTGTAGTGATGTCAAGATTTTAAGGTTTAATCTGGATAATTTAAAGATCCATCACTTAAATGTCATTAAATATCACAGAAAACCAGATAAACAAAAAAGAAACAAAATTAAATCAAATCTTTTATTAGCTTTTCTCTAAAGTTGAACTTTTCTAATTATTATATTATATATATAACTTCTCCATATTCTCTACCCTCATTGGACTGACAGTGCAAGTCTTTTGGTGTTGCCTGGGCTAAACTGTTGACTACACCTGATGAGGTGTGGATAAACACATGCCCGAGGCCAAATTGAAGGGTGGACAGCATTTCTTTCCAGACATCCTCATGATCTCTTCACTGCCTTTTTATTTTTTTTTAGCTGGGATTATTAAGCGATTTAACAGAAAACCCATAGGTCAGTGGTTTCCACATTCACAGAAGGGTCCCTGGTTCAGTCCCAAATCCTTTTGGTTTAAGGAAATGCATTTGGCGTAAAAATCTGCCAAATTAAAAATTTGGTGCTAACTGTATTGGCGAATCATTGCGAATAAGGAAGCAGCTTAAAATTGCTTTTAGTCCTAAAAGCTCTGGTCAGTCCACACACTTTTGTGCCAGGAACCTCCAGAAACCACTGCCAACCAGTTGGGGAAAACACATTTTTCCAGGGCAACCAGTGTTTGGTCCAATATGGCACATAGCTCGAGAGCAATCTGCGCATGAGGTCACATCAACAGATGTTCCTCCTAGAATTAAATCAGAAAACTTTTGCTTGTTATGAAAATGTGTAAATCAGTCGACTGGTGCCACTAAAATCTTTCGTCACCTAGTTTGTGTAATTTGTGAAGAACCAAATCACGTAAGTGAATGGAAATCAAACATTAACCTTCTGAGGGCAAAATTACTTTTTTTTGTAATACGGCTTCATTCATCGCACAATCCAATCAAGCAAAAACTGACCCTCGAGTGCTGTTTGAACATCATTGAAAGGCTTGTTGTGAATTAAGTTGAAATAACAGTTATATGTGATCTAAAAGCAAATCTCAGGCGTAACATCAACACTTACTGCAAGCACTAAAAACAGACAGTCATCTTCAATTTAAGGCACCGGTGTGAATCTGTGAACCAGCCAAACTAACCACAGGAGAGTTCTCCTGATCAATAAACAAATTATATCAGGACGATCTATTAACAGCTCTGCACATAAAATCCTCTGATCCTTCAAGGCTCTAATTTCCTCTCACACAGACACAGCTTTCACACCTGAGAGATGTGTGACTTCACAGAGACATTAAGCTTGTAAACAGCGTGATTTAATTAATTTTCTTATTTATATCTGACTTGTGCAGCACCAAGGGACTGAAGGAGGAGCGGGGATTCGGGATTTGCTCTGGACAATCATCCATCTTCTCAAAGGCGAAGAGGAAGACGAGCAGAAGGATGGACTGACACACTGCTGTTGCTCCTCCGCACTTGATCAGTTACATGAATATACACAGCCCAGCTGCTCCAGCCTCAATTGCTTATTGTCTTGTCTCAAACTCACAATCAGCTCTGCAGAAAAGAGCATGCTGAAGCTGTTAGTAATCTATGACCACAGCAGAGAAGAGAATAAAAATGCTAAAAAAAAAAAGAGTCAATAGTGGCTAAATGTCACCAGACATCTCGAGATGCTCCTGGGAGGAATGACTATCATTCTGGATAAGCATTTAAACAGATGAACTGGAGGATAAAGTGACATGACTTCATCTCACCACGTACATCTAACCTGTCTGCTCGGGTTTCCTGTATATAGGTATTTATATCCACCGCCACATGTAAACAGCAATGACTTTACAAGGCATCAGAAAGAAGATGCACAGGAGTCGCAAAAGAAATGTAAACGATCGAGGGTTTTTTCCATTTTCCCAGGGATGACTTTCCATTTATCGCCTTCACTCAGCTGGTTGAGGCGTGGGCGGTGAGAAATTGTACAGACTGTTCGTGTCTATCCGAGCTGCAGAAATAAAGTCATGACATGAAGTTGCATAAATCTTGTTCGAGAAGAAAAGACAGAGTTGGGGTGGGTGGGGGGAGGACGAGAGCGGAGATGAAGATTATTGATTTAGTAGGAGAGCATGAGGAGGACTTTGTATGATGGAGCAGAGAAGCATGATAGGCAGAAAAGGTAGGCGTAGGAGAGAAGCAATGAAGGCTAGACCAAAAAATAAAATCATTAAGAATGAAGAACGGTTAAAAAAAAAGGTTTGAAGAGAGGAAGTGACAGGTGAATTGATGGAAAGATGAGAGAGAAGCAGGTGTGATGGCACAACAAGAGAAACAAGGGAAAACCTTTGGAAGTTAAAGATAGGACAGCATACAGGCAGGCAAGTAAAGGAAGATTGGGAAAGACCTACCAGGGTCTGTTGGTATCTCAGAGCCTTCCTTTGCGATGCATCTGCAGCCATTGACACGCTGTCACTGATCCAAAAATAATCTCGCTGGACACCCCAGCATTTCTAATGGCGTGGGCAACAGCAATGGCACACACACATACACAAACACACACACACACACTGCCTTATTGTATACCCACTTCACACCAGGTCAAAAACACCACAAAAACATCTAAAGTTTCTCAGTCTCAAACACACTCATTGCATAGAGATAGTCCGAAAGTACAGGTGAGGTCCATCCCGAAAGCGCCTTTCTCCAGATGACCCACAGTCTAAGAGCCATCCAGCTCCACCGCAACACCGACAGACACATAGACAGAAATCAGAAAGGCAGACAAAGCAGAGCAAAGCCATCTGATGAGGCAGTGAAGGACACACTGCTTTCCTTTATTAGAACTGCAGACACCTAATAACACACACACACACACAACTTGTTGCCCTAAGCAGCACCCTCCCTGCCAGACGGCCATTAGGTGTGTGTGTTTGGATGGCCTGTTCTTGTTTGGACAGGAGTGTTGAGAGGGGTGGTAGTTGGAAGGGTACCCCCCACCCCCCACACCCGCCCCAACATAGGGCTGCCCCTGCAACGTGAGCAGGAAGGTGCACATGACACCCCTATGACAGCCCGCACCTATTCAGCCAATGCCGCAAGGCAATCCCCGTAACACTCACATGCTATGGCAGCCCTCTCTTAGAAGGAGGGGGAAAGAAAAAAAAAATCACCCCTAGACACACCCCCAATAGCAAGAGCTCAGCTCATACTGATCAGCTCTGCATAGGATCCAGGTACCAAGAGGATAGGCGAGGAGGTAAATTTGTGCTTTACATCGGGCCTTTGGTGTGCTCAGCCAACATCCCATTCAAGCAACTTTAAATTAAACATCTCTAGTTCACTGGCGGGTTTCTCCTCTGGTTCCTCCTCCTAACCCGTTGACACCGGCAGCTATTATGACAACCACAAAGGCACAGGCAGATCCCCCCCTAACCCAGCCCTGCTTTGCGGCCCACACGCTAATGCATAACAGCCTGAGCTCACAGTTATACCGGAGGCCAGGGAGAAATGTGTTACACAGACCACCGGCGTGTGCGTGTATGTCAAACGAGAATGATTGTGGACAGCTGGCCCGGGGGGCTCTATCTGATACACTAAGAACATTATCACTGGGTGGCGGGCAGTGTGAGAGATGCATACGTTGTCCCGGTCGCAGCGCGACCTGAGCACAGCGGACTAGTGGGGAGCCAGTTATACTATACCTGAGAACGGAGGGGGACAGGCTGAACGCCGGGAACAACACACACAAACACAGCAACAAGGAGGATCAAATGGAGCGGAGCATGCACAGGAGCGGCAACAGTGTACATTTGAGCAGAGGGCCTTGACTTTACGGATGCAACATGATCTAAACCTGTGCATAAAAGCTGTCATTGCAGAAAATGCAAATACAAACACAGCTTTAAGAACAAACACAGACATTTTTTGTTGTTTAAAACCCACAGCCTTTTATTATACTCAACATTTGGCAGTAATTAATATTGAAGTCTCTCCTGCCCCCTCCCCACCCTACATCACATCACCCCACATAGCACTTCAGCAGAGTTTGGCAGCAAAACGTCTCATTCTACAGGAAAACTATCCTCTTATAACAGTCCAATCTTTTCCTCTCCTAAGTTATGTTTCTTAATTATTAAAACTAAAACATAAGTGGAGTGAGCACGCTTCAGACCAGGGTCAACTCTGCTAAGACTGCCTCATACACAGGATCTTTAAAATCATCCCTTTACTGATAGTTAACAATCAATACTGTTTCAACCACTGTGTCCCTCACTGCAACACTGCTGTAACTAAAACAAACTTTGCCTGGTCAGTTTTCTTTTCTTTCTGGGAACCATAAATTCTGGAGCAGCTTTGAGAAATACTTTGTTTGGAGGCGTGCCAGAGACTTATAATATGCTATGAAAGCAGCACCATGGTCATAAACTTATCCAACACATCATCCTCAGCTGGCACAGGCTTTTTTTAAATGGAAGACACTTTTTTATGTGTTGTGCATCGATTATAGTAAAATACAATGGCGAGACTGACTAAATATGCAGCTCCTATGCAGGAACAAACACTACAAGTAAAATGTGTAAAGGTTCATACTGTCTGTAAGTGACCCTACATGTAGCACCAGACTGCACTCCACCACCCTGACAGAGAAATTTACTAAATATCAGTAAATGTCATCATTAATTTAAAGTGAGAAAATAAACTTCATACTAAAGCTGCCCTGTAGGTGTTGTTCTTTTCGTAAGGCAAACTATGTGAGGAAAAAAAAAAAATCATATATTCTAATTTAATAGTTCAAAAACTCTACTGTTTAATTTTAAACATAGCTGTAACCATGGCTGCCATGACAATAAAGCTCTTCTTCAACTGAAGGAGATGTTAATATTGATGAAATCGAGATGCTGAAATGCATTTTGCTGCGCTGCCCCCTGCCTGTCACTATGTTAATAACAAGAAATGTTCATAACATTTAACATACATTATGTACAAATATAAGAATGGGCCTTACAATCCTTATAAAAAGAATTCCATACAAAATAAAGCCACAAAAATAGATCTGTGTACAAAATACATTTTAAAAAGAGGCTTGTGAAAGCTCAAAGTAGCTGTGCAGTTTGACTGCAAAGGATTAACATCTAAACCCTCTAACTGGCATAGACACAGACACACAAATATATACATGAGCACATTGTATGCCAATAGGTTGCCCATTTCCATGTACATGTAGATTAACAGAAGCTCGCTCCTTTTTTCTTTCCAAGATTTGTGTATGTGTGTGTGTGCTTGTGAATGTCTAGTGGTTTGAATGGACAAATCAAAACCACTAGACATTTGGATGTCAAGTTGTAACAGGGGGGAATGTGTGAGTGTGTGGTGTGCAATAAACAGCTGTGATGCCCTTACTCCAGGCTTCAATACAAGGAATGATCTGTGTGTGTTAATGTGCATATTAATACTGGGGCTGGTGCTTGGGGAAAAAGTAGAGGTCTTTGCACAATGAGCTGGTGAACTCTGACATTTCTTTGCAGCGGTGGTGGGCAGTACCTGGGGCGTAGCCCTCCCTCTCCTTAATACGACTGTTCACCTGGGAGAAAAAGAAAAAAAGACATGTTGGTTTCAAAAATGTATTATATATCAAAATAGCAGTTTGTAATCTGCAACTGCAGTCTGAAAAAACATGTTTACCTGCACCAATATGTCCGCAAGGTGGGTGTCTCTGGCGTGGAGGCGGAGTGCTGAATTGAGTTCCTGGATAAACCAGGATCCTCTCTTAGTGTTTCGCATGGCTGCTGTGCCTTGAGGAGGAAAAGATCAAACAGCAGAAGTGTAATACATCAAGATGAGACACATAAAGACAGAGCAAAGGTGTTGTCTGGTAGAGCTTTACATAATAAAGCTTTACATAATAAAGCTTTACATAATAAGAATCAATTTCAGAACCACTTTTGATTCGCTTGTGCACAAAAAAACCCTCTCAAGCAGACATTTTAATTGCACTGCACAAAAAGCAGAAATAATGATTAGGGCCAAAGATAATTAAAAAAAAAAAGAATTACAAAACCATTACTGCTGATCTCGATGGCCTCATTAGTTTTCCTCTTACACCAGTGTTTCAGTTAATGAATAAAATATCATAAATAAACCCACCCCAGAATAACAAATTAGATAAACTTACAAATTCTCTGACCTTTGAGAGACGCAAAGCCACAGATCATGTCCGACCGCTGGGGAAGTTTAATCCTGGGTCTTCCTGTGTCCCCCCTCTGTCTGGAGTCTGCATCCCCCTGTCCCTCCCTGCCAGCATCCCGCTGTTCACAGCTTGGTGAGCACGTCCTCTTTGGCCCGTCTATCTGCTCCACGCCACAGTCCATCTCCTCTGGAAGACAAGTAAGTTTCAATTAGGTCCAAAAAGATCTAGCAGCGATATTAGTGCAATAACTGGGTTGGATTACTGCAGTTTTTAGTTATTTGTCTCAAATATTCTTTAATAATGAATGCAACTGTCCACCAAAGGGGCAAAGCATTTTATTGACACTATAGGCCAGTGAAAACAAACCAAAGCAGAAGAGATTAAAACTGAAAGATTAAAAAAAATGCATGTGTGATTCAACGCTGCACTGTAACACCACCTGAGCAGACATAGATGGAGCAATGAAGCTGTGCCTGCTCAGTTAGCATGCTTCTCAAGCTGTTGCCCTAGTCTTAAAAAAGCTAAACAGCTTGAACTCAATGGGTTTCCTGCAGCTCTTTGATAAACTCAAGTATTATTCCAAATTAATTCTGGAAAAAGTCTGAAAGCGAAGCTATCACTGGCATTTAGCATGAGCCCTGGTTGAAATGTTTTTCTAAACTTCTGAACGGCAAAAAAACGAAGAAATCTTGCACTGAAATTTACATAGCACTTTTCTAGTCCTCCTGACTGCCCCCAAAGCACTCTACACCACAAGCCACATTCACACAGCACTACGCCGCAGGCACTTTGAAGCCTTTAGCTATCCATCCATCCATTTCTTTAACCGTTTAAAGGACTCAGGGTCACAGGAGAGCTAAATCCTATCCCGGCTAACATTGAGTGAGGAGTGGGTTACACCCTGGACAGGTCTCCAGGCTATCACAGAGACATTCACACCGGCGGCCAACTGAGAATCACAAATTCCACTAACATGCATGCCCTAGACTGGTGGAGGATCCCGGGTTACTTGGAGGGAAAACCATGCAGGCACACAGAGAACATGTATATTCCACAAAACAAGGACCCTCTTGCGATGACCTCACAGTGTTAACCACTGTGTTGCAAACAACACTTACTTATTTTTCTTTCTTACTAAGAAAAACTGGCAGTATACAAATGTGTCCATGAACACTCTAAATAAGCAATATCTGAATTTCACTGCAGCTATTTCCAGAGTTGCTAAGCACATCTAATAGCCTTTCAGCAGCACACCTGTGTTGGGCTCTGTGTGCAGCGAGGGAGTGTGGGAAGTAATTAGGTTTGCTCCTGAGGGGTCTAAGGATCTGTCATGAGCATCACTGGGTGTGCAGTCAGGCCATAACCTCCGTCACAGACACAGAACAACTGACTTGGAGCTTGTTAAGCCACAGATTCATTTTATTTTTATTGTGCTGAATTTGTTTGAAGTTTCATCAAAATATTATAAAGAAGATGAAAACTGACACAAAACTGAGATTTTGGCACAATCCACAGCTGGAACTGTAGAATAAATGGGCGATTCTGAAACTGCCACCCACTGTGATTCTCTCAGTGGGCAAGACAATGACAGCAGACGACATCTGGCCATGTGAAGGGGAAGATTGGTACCACTATTTCATAATGCTGCACGGCTCTAAGAGATTTTACCCAGGTGGTTTCTCAGAACTGTGGACAGTGCAGT